TGGGGCGGGGGGGTGGGCTAGGGAATAAAAGTAAGGAGCTTTTAAATACAAAGGGAGGTTTGCATTACAAAGGATTTTAATTGGAGTTGGAGGCAGAAGCTAGTCTCCGCTGAACAGGACTGAGTGCTAAGGCTATCACTACAGGGAAGTAATAGTCCATTAGTGTGACAAATTGCAGGTGTTTTTGCAGAATCCTTGGAATATTTGCAGGTTGGCCCAGATCAAAAGTTCATGGTTTCACAAGATGGGGAAGTACAGGAGGTCCACTAATTAATAGCCTCCCAGCTCCATGTTAAAAATCCCTTGACAGGGGACTTCCCTGGTGGTGCAGTGGTTAAGAATACGCCTGCCAATGCAGGGGACGCGGGTTCGAGCCCTGGTCCGAGAAGATCCCACATGCCGCTGAGTAACTAAGCCCATGCGCCACAACTACTGAGCCTATGCTCTAGATCCCGCGAGCCACAACTACTGAAGCCCACGTGCCACAACTACTGAAGCCTGCACACTTAGAGCCCTTGCTCCACAACAAGGGAAGCCACCACAAATGAGAAGCCTGCGCACCACAACGAAGAGTAGCCCCCGCTCGCCGCAACTAGAGAACGTCCGCGCGCAGCAAAGACCTAATGCAGCCATATATATATATATATATATATATATATACATATAATTTTTAAAAAATCCCTTGACAGAAGTGACTCCTTTTTATTTCACATTTCACAACACTATTAATTTGGCATGCCTTGCAGGACTTCGCAAAGCAAATATAAAAATTATCACAGCATGTACACAAACTATATGATAATAGCAGACTTCTTTAAAAAAACGTAAAAATTGAAATGACAAGAAAACACTTAGGAAGATATTGAGACATCTATAAATTATTAAAGATTTAATATATAAATAATAAATAAATTCGATAAGTACTACAAATGAAAGATTTAAAACCTAAGAAGGCAAAATTCTTCTATGCCACTTCAGATTAGAATTATGAAAGCAAACAACATTTTTGAAAAAATAGTCTTATTTTCCATTAGGAAAATGAAAATGAAACCAATCAGATTGATGAGCCTAAGGAAGTCTGACATTACCAAATGTTGGTAAAACTAAAGAAATTAGTAAATATCACAAACTGCCATTGGGTATCTATTAAAATTACTTTGCAGAAGTGTTTAGCGTTATGCAGTTACTTTAAACCTCTGCCCCTTTGTGCAAAAAATACTTTCTATTGATACATGCACTACGTAAACCAGTGTATCAATAAGAAAACATGTCAGATATCTCTAAGTAGCACTGCTATACCTGCCAAAAGCATGAAAAACAAAAAAGAAGCAAAGAAAGATTTCAAGATTTGAATGTAAAATTGAATTTAAAAAATTCAATGCCACGGAGCAACTAAGCCCATGCGCCACAACTACTGAGCCTGCGCTCTAGAGCCCTGGAGCCACAACTACTGAAGCCCCCGCGCCTAGAGCCCGTGCTCCACCACAAGAGAAGCCACCGCAATGAGAAGCCTGAGCACCATAACGAAGAGTAGCTCCTGCTCGCCGCAACTAGAGAAAAGCCCACTTGCAGCAATGAAGACCCAAAGCAGCCAAAAATAAATAAGTTTTAAAAATACAGACCATGCAAACCTATACAATTATGAAAAAAAAACTTAATACATGTGTTAAAAGAAAATTTCACAGATTTTAATTTTGGGATATAGTTTGATTTTATGTAGTGACTCATGAACTGGAAAGCAAGCAGTCTAGAAAATAGAGAGGAGCTCTGAAGAGCTATTCAAAATGCACAGATTACATAGACAAAAATACTTGAGAACAAGGAATTCATACTAGGCAATAGCTGATTGGTCATAGCAAGGTTAATTTTCTTCATGTGGGGCACAGGGAAGTTTTGGAACAAGGTTGTGAAAAACTAAAACTTATCAGGCATATTCTGATTGGCTGGCCTTAGGTTTCCGCTCCTGAAAGAGCCAGATATCTGCAAGAAATAGAAATTGAAGTAAGTTTCAGCTTTCAGATTTGGGTCTTAGCATGAGCCACTCTGTCTTGGGACTAGTTTAGATATTTTAACACATGACGGGGGGGGGGGAAGTAAAATCACAAACGTTATATTGTTTTTTGGCTTTTATGAATAAAGCTGCTGTTACTGTGAATATTTCCACCGAAGTATTCCTGAGTCATAAGATTTCATTTTTCTTAAGGATATACCTACAATTGAGATTACCGTGTCGTATGTGTATGTATAGCATTACAAGAGAGTACAACAGTATTTTCTAAAGTTATTTATCAATTTGTATTCCCTCAAGAAATATATGAGTTGTAGCTGTTTCATCTCTTCATTAACTTGAAATTGTCAGTGCTTGAATTTTAGTCATTCCAATGAGTGTGTAGTAGTCCCTCACTGTGGCTTTAAAATGTGTTTACCTGCTGAGTAATAAGGAGAAGCATATTTTCATTTTCTTATTTACCATTTATACTTCAGAAGTTTTGCGAATATTTTGAATTGTGTTATTTTTCGTTATTGTTATAAGGACCATTTACATATTGAGAATCACAGTCATTTCTCAGAGATAGTTCTTACAAATATCTTTCTCTAGGTTGTGACTTGAGTTTTTACTTTCTTAACTATCTCTTGAAAAGCAGTTTTAATTTTGATTAAGCTTCAATTAATTTATTTTCTTTGGTTGATGACCTTTGTGTTTATTTATTTATGTTTATTTTTATAAATTAATTTATTTTTGGTTGCATTGGGTCTTTGTTGCTGTGCTCAGGCTATTTCTAGCTGTGGAGAGCAGGGGCTACTCTTCCTTGAGGCGCGCGGGCTGAGTAGTTGTGGCTCCCGTGCTCTAGAGTGCAGGCTCAGTAGTTGTGGCACACAGGCTTAGTTGCTACAAGGCATGTAGGATCTTCCTGGAGATCGAACCTGTGTCCCTAGCATTGGCAGGTGGATTCTTAACCACTGTGCCACCAGGGAAGTCCCACCTTTTTGTTTTTAAATAATCCTTACCCTTAACCAAAAACAGAGAGCATTTTTCCTAAGTCATCTTTTTTACTGCATTTTTTTCCTCTGACATAAAGAATTGTGTAGGGGTACTTAAATAAATATATAAATATGAAAATAAATAAATATGAAAAAAATAAAATAAAATGTTGATTGCTCAGACTGATGTACATGGATTACCTTTATCAAGATCTTTCTTTTGCAGACTTCCAAGAACAAATGTAGGATATCTGTAAAAGCTATTTTAACATCGTCTACTTATCCTTGTATGTTACTATTCAATTAGATTTTGTTTGTATGTTTGTTGTGGCCACACCGTGTGGCTTGGGGATCTTAGCTCCCTGACCAGGGATCGAACTGGGCCCCTGGCAGTGGAGGCATGGTCAATTGGATTTTTTTTTTTTTCTTTCTGCTAACACGTATTATATTTCTGATTGTTTGCCTGGATTATAATTACCCTCTTCACATGCCATGATGGACACACTGAGAAGACGAACGTTTTCCCTTTTTTCTGCCTTAAAGTTTTCGAAAGGAAGTCTCCATTCGTGCTTGGTTATTGATACTCTTCTGACTGTGAATAATTTCCCTTTTTTATGAGAGACCGATTTTATACTCACAGGCTTCAGAAGGCAGCATGAGCTCCCTGGGACTTGATTTCATTATTTCAATTTCATTGTTGTGTTTTGAGGGCAAGTCTCCATTTGTAGCCAATCAAACTGGTTTTCCAATTTACCAGAGTAATGCATGTTTCCCTCCTGGAATAAATCTACTTAAGTTAAATAAAAATTACATCCATTTAAATTGAAAGCACTGGTATCAATGGCCATCACTAATGTCCACTGACACTGAGCACATGTCAGGCCTGTTCCAGGCACTGTCGATTACCACACGTTTAATTCTGACACCGCTGTGCTCTCAAAGTCAGGAAAATACAGCTAATGCATTAAGTCTCTCATTAAGCTCAACTTACATTAGAGGATGCCCCTCCATTGTGAGATGCTATCCTCTGCCTTCTTTCCAGGTAAAAGTCCTTTATTT